GAGACAAGAGAAAACATGATTTCACAGGGGTAAGCAAGTAGCAGAGTCAGCAATTATTGTGAGGGCATCTGCCATACATGGATGCCAAGAACTGCTGTTTTTACATAGCTGTCCTAGAGAGAGTGAGTAGTTCATTTAAAATGTTTTAGTGAAATATTTTTTAAATAAAGATAAGTGGACAAATCACACATAGTACAATTAATTTTCTCAAAGTAAACACACCTACAGAGGTAAAATATTGTCAGCACCCCTGGAAACCCTCATACTTTCTCCAAATCACTCCAAACTCTCCCCTCCCCAGAGGTAATCACTTTCCTGACTTCTATTAACTATAAATTAGTTCATCTTGTTTTTTTAATCTTGTATAAATGAAATCGTGCAATATGATTGTGTGCTTATGTGTAATTATTCTTTCACCATGTCATCATTTTCTAGCCACTGTAGATTTTATCCAGTCTATAATGTTGTCTCAATGGCTATTCCAAGATTTTCTCATATTTTTGATAGATTCTTTTAAAATATCAATCTATTTGTGTTTCATTTCTTCCTGCTTCCAGGAATGTTCTTGTTTTCTCCTGATAAACATCTCCTATGTCCTGGGTTCGATGCTTTCCTTTTTCTTGACTGTCTACCTTATTTTAATGAAACATTACTTCTTTGGGAAAAAAATGCAAAAGAGGTAAATTTTTGAGAATTTCCCTTTCTGAAAATGTCTGGATTCTACTATCGTATTTAATTTATACTTTGGTTATAGGACTCTATGTTGGAAAAAAAAATTGAAGGTATTCAGAATTTGACGGGATTACTGCCTTGTTGTCTACTTATTTGTGTTATTGTTGAGAAATCTAATTCTGTTTTCGCTTACAATTCTTTTGCATGTGACCTGACTTTTCTCTCTGAAAGATTTTAGGTTTTTTATATTCCGATGTTCTGAATTCTACAGTGGTGTGTCTTGGTGTGGTCATTTTGGCAGGCATTCAGTGAATAAATTCAGTATGGAAATCCATGTACTTCAGTCCTGGGACATTATCTTGCGTTAATTATTAAATCATTTCTTATTTCTCTTTCCTCATTTGCTGAAACTCTTATTAATTGGTTGTTAGGTTTTATTTTTTTATTTTTTCTGTTTTTTAATTCTGAATTTCTTTTCTATTTTGAAAGAACATTTTTACAATTTTATTTTCAGAACTTTATGGAATATGTTAGAGCATACTTTTGATTTTGAAGAGGACTTTCTTGGCCTCAGGATATCTCCTTTTCATAGTATTTCTCCTCTTTTTTCATAGATACAACTTTCTTATCTATCTAGGACTATTATAGTTGCTTTTGTTTCGTTTTGCTTCTTCTGCTTGCTGCATTGACTTTCTTCAGAGCCTTTTCTTGAATTTCTGGTTTTCCTTGGCTCCCTGAAGTTTATATTTAAAGGTGAGGCAATTAATGAACCATTAGCCAGATTGGTTGTTGACTGGTGGGATTCATTGGGGAATCTTAAAATTTTATTGAAAGACCCCAAAATGTCAATCTCAATATATGTTTTTTAGTTCCTCCACTTCACTAGAGGGAGAAAATAGACAGTGGTATAATTCCAGTCTACATATGGGCTTTTTTTTTTTCCATCTAACTCTGTTGGATCTGCCCTTTGTCCTGGGGGCAGTTCCTTTTGCCTATCCCTGTTTCTTGGGTTGAGTAACGGCCATCTTTGTGACAGAATTAGTTCAAGTGAAGACCTGTGATCTATGGACATATTTTTCACTCTCAGTTGATTTATTTAGTAAATGAAAAACTGATTTTCAGGATAGTGTCTCCTTTTTCTACTGTGGTCTAGTTGTCCCTCTAGGTTTCCTCTTCTGTTAGGAAATCAGTGAAATAAAAATATGGCTTGATTATGGGGTCTCCTTCTCTTAGCCTCTCTTCCCTTTCTGCCAACTTTAAAAAGTATTTTACCATGGAAAATGTGATAAAGCAATGCATATGCAAACAGTAGACAATTTTACAATGTGTTCCTTTGCTACCCGTCTTAGAGGGCCAGCAATTATCAATCCAAGTCAATCTTGTCTATACCCTCACCTACAGCTCTGCCTCTCAGTTTTCAAGTAAATCTCAGGCACATTATGAACTTTATCTGTGAATCTTTTAGCTTGTATCTCTAAATGATAAATTTCTAAAACATAGAAACATATGTATTACACCTGAAAAATTAACAAGAAATTCTTAATCTCATCAAATATCCTCAGTTTTCAAATTTCCAGTTGTCCCGTACATTTTATGTTTTTGTCTGTTTGAATCAGAACCCAAGTAACTAACTTCCACATACAGTGATTAATTTATATGTAGTTTAGGCCTCTTTTCATCTATAGGTTTCCCTTCAATCTATTTTTTTCTCTGTAATTTTTTGTTCAGTTGAGAAAACAAGTGATTTGTCTTGTCCAGTCTCCCAAAACTCATGGCTGATTTTTATCCCCATGGTGTAGTTTAATATGTTCCTCTGTATTTCCTGTGAATTTTTAAGACCACTTCATGGGCACTCTTTTGTTCTTCCATAATGCTTGTTTTTCTCTCTTTTTTGTGGTATTAGAAGATGCAATGCATCCTTAATAGCAATAAAAAATTATTCATCCTTCCTCCTTGCTAGTTAACTACTATTTTTTCTGAGGTGGCATTTGCCCAGTTTCAGGGTTTAAATCATGAGTTGTTTAAGTCAATCACAAGAATCTGTTTTCCTTTGTGATTTCCATTGTGGTAGAGGAGAGTATGTGATTCTGTCCTGGCCAATGAAATATCAAGTTTATTGGAAAAGATTATTCTCCCTGAAAAGACAGAACTTTTTTGCTTCTCTGTCTTTTAATATTTCTACAATTTTTTAATGATTTCTATTTCCTTTGTGTACTTTTATCTTCCCTCGTATCTTTATTCTTAGCATGTTTATTTTAAAGTCTAGTCTGTTCTAATAATTCTTTGTTAGATGGTGTATGTTGTTTGGTTTGATACCTCTTTTCTGTTGGTTTTTCTTCTCATGTGTCTTGAGAGCTTGTGCTCCTCTTTCAGGTAACGTGTATTCAGGTCAAATTGAAAACCAGGCCCTAGTTAGTATGTGTCCACTAGTGAGTGTTCTTTATTTTTTTATTTTTTATCTTTTTGAGTGTTCTTTAGTATATGAACTAAAGTAGAGAAAAATGAAAGAACCTGAGAACTGAGAGACTAGTGACCCCAAAGCAATTGCTGAGCCCTGTTTCCAGTCCACATCATGAGCAACTTGATTACCCTTAAGTTCTCCACAATAATTTAGTTTTTTAATATTATAAAAAATAAAATTTTTTTTTAAACATACATACACTCCCAATTCTTCCGAACCATAAATGCAGGTTTGCAAGGTTTTGTAGTTGAATTTATATAAGTAACAAGGAAGTTATAATATGAATACTGCAGAGGAGAGGGGTGAGATTTCTTAATGAAAAAAACAAAACACAAACGTTACATCAAAACACAAAACAAACAACTCTGTCCTTGTTCCCAACTGTCTTCTTCTATCGCTATTAGAAAAAAAATAAAGTCCAATCATTTTTCTTTCCTCTGTGATGTGTATGAATGTGCTACTTGCATGGAAAGAAGAACAAAGAAAGGAGGAGGATGTTCACTGCAAATGAATTCATTTTGTGAACACGTTTCTCATTCCATAATGGCATCTCCTTTCCCTACTACCAGATTTCTCCTGTGTTTTATAGACACAAAGGAATACGACATATATGGAGCACATCTAACAGACTTAAGCTACAAGTGGATTACTGCTTATTTTTATTCCAAGAGGCATGGAGTAAACAAGACAGTGATAAGAATGTTCCTTAAAGACAAAGTGAGGATTCCCCTCTGCTTTCTTAATAAAAAGGTTGAAGGATATCTTGTGTACGTCTATAGGCATTTTCAAACTCTAAAACAATGAAAAATGTTTATGATAAACTTTTAAACTTAAAAAAAAAGAAAACGCCAAACATACCGCTTAAGAAAATAGGGAACAAAAAATAGAAGACAAAAATTCTATCGTAGTTTTGCTTTTAATATTTTGATGTATCTCTTCATTTTTTTCCCTCGTGTGTCTGTCTCTCTAAATATACATACACATAATTTTTTTTAAGGCAGTAAGTTTACTTAGTGAGAACAATTAACAGGCTGGATTTTAAAAATGCTCAAAAGGAGAGAAGTGGGGCCATCCCGGCGTTTGGGGGAAACCCAGTCGTAACATTAAATGACCTCTTGGTCCAGCTCTGTTGTATCATGTGGCGGAAGGATTCCTTTGATGAGAATGAAAGGCTGCCCTGTTGCAACAATAGTTTTCATATCACTTATTAAATATGTACGTCTCTGGAATTCAGTAGGTCTTCCAGAGTTGCTTGTGGTAGTTTCTTTCAGTGGTGTGGGCTGCAGTGGCTGCTAAAACCCGCGTGTCAAAAGTAAAGGGTGGGGAGACGCCATTTGCAAAGACGGAAATGATTACAATCTGAGTTGAGCCCATTCCCAGTCAGCAAGGGCTTGCCAAGAGCACAGTTCCTGCTTCTGGTGTCTACTCTGAAGAGCTGAGAGTGAAGGTTTGTCTTCCATTCCATTGGCAGTAGGAGTTCTCCAGCTGCTGGTGAGCAAAGGGGGCTTAGATCACTGGCGTGGCGGGCAACGGGGAGGCGCGCTAACTTGAGAGGTCAGCGACGAACACAGCTCAATGGCCTAGTCTCGCCAGGCTGGAAGGCGGACCCTATCGGCCTCCGTCCTCTTCCGCTCGCTTCAGGTGCAGCCCGACGGATCCCTCCGCCGCAGCGAGCGCTCCCGGTAGCGCTGTGATCGGCTTTTCGGCAATACCCGGATGGAAGCGTAATGGCCGCCATCAGGGACTCGCAGGCAATGGGGACCACGACAGGTATTCCATGTGAGCGGAACCTCCCAGACCCGTTAGGATGATGGGACTTCTAGAGGGCCAGCCAGAGGACAAAGTGAGAGTTTGCGGGGTGTCAGTGTCCCCTGAAGCGGCTCAGGGATACGCCTCTTACGATAGGAAGCTCCTGGTAAATAGTCCCGGCTAGTCAGCGCTTCCGCTTAACTTGCCGCAAAGTTTTTCTAGACAAGTCGGCTCTTTTACTCGGCGCTTTGCTGGCTGCTAGAGCCAGCCTTCCGCCCCGAGCCTCGGCTTGCGTTACGTCTGGCTTTTTGAACTCTGTACTCCCACGGCACTGGAACCCTAGCGGGTGGCGGCGACCGTGTGCCTCCGCGCGCCCGAGGGGAGCCGAACCCCGGAGGAAGGGGCGGATCCGGCGCGGTGTTTGGGACGGAGCGGGGCGCGGGGCGCTCGAAGCATCCTCTCTGCGCGTTCCAGGGCTGGTGGAGGCAGCATGGGCACCCCTCAGACCGCACCCCTCGAGCTGTAGGTTCGCAGGCGCACGGCAGCCCGACTCGACGGCTTCCCCATTGTGGGTCCAGTCTATGATCCTTGGAGGTTTTTTTCTTGCAGATAATGCTCAGCTCTCTGGCGCGCTCCCTTCTACAGAGTTGGCCAAAGGCGCTCTTCCCTGCAGACCCCAACCACACCCAAAGGCATATGGATTTCTTTGTAGCTGGCTGTGTCACTAGTAGGGTCCATTTTGAGTCTGCTCTTAACATGGTGTCCTCATTGTCAAGCAGAACTGTCTCTTCCTAGATGGCTATGGTAATTGCAGATACATAGGGTGAATGTATGTAAGGTAAATGTTTATAACTATTAAGTGGACTAACGAGGTAGGTATGGTAGTTTCAAGGTTCAGAATACAAAAGTTAAGGTTCAGTTTATTACTTTAAACTTTGGGGGAGTTTAGGATTTGTGAGTTATTTTAGCAAAAACCAGTTGCGGGTATTTGGATATCGAAAGTCTTAAGAAGCCCTAGGAAAAGAAAATAAGTCAGTGTTTAAGAAAAATAGGAATGTTGAACTTGTACGGTTGTCACAATGATAAGACATGGAGACACCAAACTACATAAGGGTAGGAATTTCATTAACTTGAGCATTTGTGTTAGGCCTAGTTTACTGATATTCTTAAATTGTTTTTTATGAAGAAAGGAATCCAATTTGAGTATTTCTCTAAAGTTAGTATCCTCAGGGTGAACAGATAGAAGCCATTTAAATTGATTCAGTGAAATACCCTGATAGTTTTCAGAATTTTAACTGCAAATCATTAGAAAAGGATTCTTTCTGCCAAACTATATTTTTCTGAAATTGTAAAGACACTATTGTATTAACATGTTCAGGGTTTTAGCATTTCATGGGTATAGTAAAGCATAGTAGACCTTAGAGATTTTTGTTAAAAATCTCATAAGATGAGGCCCAGATCAAGCAAATTGTTAACAAAAGGGGAGTTGAGGGATGGATAAAATTAAGGTATTTAACTCCCTGTTTTGCACGTCCACATTTTTCCTTGTTGCTGTGAAAGGAAATATGAATATCAATTAGAAATGTTTTATAAACTGATTTTATGAAAGGATGAAAGGACAGCAACTGCAATGAATGGCTACGGTGCACATTGATAATGCATGAGCTTTTAAATGCTTGAGATTTTTTTATCATTACCATACTTTGAATCCTGTTCTCTCTGGTAACGTAGACCCTGATCCCAAAAGTTTTCTTACCTTGAAAATTTCAGAGGGAATATATTTTAGCATAAATCTACAGTTTGACTTGAAAATATATTTTAAACATGTTCTTTTATTGTTTACCTTTCTCTTTGAAATTGTTCTTACTGAGCATTGTGTGGTTTAGACCACTTAATACACTTCTTTTTTTTTAATGATAAAAACCTTGAATCTTGCCCAGTTTCCTTCCGGTTCTCTACTGAAAGTTTTTTGGCAAAGCACCATAAGCAGAAGAAAAGAGTTATAGAAAAGTTGAAATTTTTATTAATTCTCAGATCCTAAGTATGTAGGCTCTGAGTTCCAGATTTATATGATATATTACCTTCACATAGCAATTTTCATGGAATTATGGATATCAGAAGTGAATATTAGGAGATAGCATTGTAGTGGTAGTATATCTGGGTTGGAATCAGATCCAGATTCTGGTTCTAGCTTTGTGACTTCAGGGGAGATTCATACCACCTATCTTGTAATAAATGAAAATACCGAATTAGATTGAGGCTAAGCTTTGAGTTTTGTGACTTGTAAATTTATGACTGAATCACTAGGTATCAGTAGTGGGTTATTTGCCTAAGTGAAGAGAGGTTTTTTTCCTTCTAAATTTAGGTACATAAGTTAAGTGTGAAATGTAATTGAATCAAGAGTATAAAAACATTTTACTAACAGTTTTTGCAGCTAAAGTTTTAAAATCTTGGTCTTCATTTCCAGATACCATCTCTTCTTTTGATCACTGTTCCTGATTGTGGCTTTCTCCAAGCATTAAATTGTGTGCCTTTTGTTCCTTGAAGAAAGAGGTACAGTAAAGATTGAAGTACTACAGTATAGTCTTTAAGCATTAATATATTTTAGTATTAGATGGAATTAAGTGAAATAGTTACATATATGTGCAAGTTATAGTTTTATTTTTGGCCAAAATAAAAAGAAATACTCATGAGTTTTCATTTTAATGTAAGCAAAAAAAAGTAGGTTTTATAGTTTAATAACATTTCATTAGAAAGCTAAAGATATTTTTAACTATGTCATCCTTCTATGTATAATGATGGCATTAAGGGCTTCTGGGTAAAGAACAATAGAGATATATATGGTAGAAACTATATAAATGGCCAGAAGAATGTTTGTATTTTGCTCTAGTAAGTGTAAAGTAATGCACCTAAAGAAAACTGTCCTATATATTTATATGGTGATCACTGGCATCTACATAATGAGTCAAAAAAGAGACTTGGGAATCACTATAGAGTTATGACTAGTTTCCTGGAGACAATCATCTGAATATCCTGGTGTCAACAGAAAGATGGAAAAAAATCTGCCAACAAATCTGTGGTATTATAAGGAAAGCTTTACAAACTCAATGGGAAATACTGTTCCCTTGTAGAGAAATATGGTTTATCTCTCCTTGAAACACAAGTGTCTCTTGCTGTTTGTGATGGATAGGTCCTGGGATAACGCACTATCATAATTCCCCTCACTAAATGAGTAAGTGTACCTGCAAGTATAATAGTAAGTCAGGAATAAGATTCTGTATGTAACTGAAGTAGCTGAAGTAGACTATATTAATCTAAACTATTATTTTAGTAATCATAACCATGTTCTTCCATGAACTTTACTAGTAGAAGCTCTCTTTTCAGGGCCGTTTTTCACAAAGACACATTTTTTAAAATCTCCTTCCCTTTAATTGTCCATACTCACCCCCCTCCTCTCTGGGAACACCAGTTATTCTCTGTATCTGAGTCTGTTTCTTTTTGTTTTATTTGTTTGTTTTGTTTTCAGATTCCCTATGTTAGTGAAATCATAAAATACTTGTCTTTCTGTGTTTGACTGACTTCACTCAGCATGATTCCCTCTCTGTTATCCATGTTTTTGCAAATGGCAACATTTCATTTTTTATGTCTGAGTAATATTTCATTGTGTGTGTATGTGTACAACATTTTCTTTATCCATCTATTGATGGACACTAAGGTTGCTTCCATATTGGCTGCAGTGAACATAGGATGCATAAATTTTTTTAAGTTAGTATTTTTGTTTTCTTCAGGTAAATACCCAGAAGTACAATTTCTGGATCATATGGTGGTTCTATTTTTAATTGTTTGAGGACCTTCCATACTGTTTTCCATAGTGGGTGCAATATTTTGTGCATGAGGGTTACATTTTCTCCACATCCTTGCTGACAATTTGTCATTTCTTGTCCTGTTGATAATAGCTGCTCTGATAGGCATAGTGATATTTCATTATGATTTTGATTTACATTTCCCTGATGATGTGATGTTGAGCATCTTTTTCATGTGTGTGTTGGCCTTCTGTATGTTTTTGCAGAAATGTCTATTTAGGTCCTCTGCCCAATTTTTAATTGGATTGGTTTTTTTTTTGATACTGAGTTGTGTGAGTTTTTATATATTTAGATATTAACCCTTTTTTGGAGTATCATTTGTAGATATCTTCTCCCATTCAGTAGGTTGCCTTTTTCTTTTGTTGATGGTTTCCTTGCTGTGCAAAAGATTTTTAGTTTGATGTCATTCCCCCCACCCACACCTTTTTTTGCTTTGTTGCCCTTTCCTGGGGAGACAGATCCAAAAAATACTGCTAAGACTGATGTCCAAGAGTTTGCTGCCTATGTTTTAGTCTAGGAGTTTTATGGTTTCCATTTTTATGTTGCAGTCTTTTAATTCATTTTGAGTTTATTTTTGTATATGGTGTAAGAAAGTGGTCCAGTTTTGTTCTTTTGCATGTACCAATTTTTTAGAAGTTAATATCTAACAACTGCAATGAGAAGGGAGTAACAAAGCTGACTTGAGATCTTTGATTACCATTTTTTTTGTTCATTTACATATGTAATTTCTTTCTTCATAACATTTGTTTGATGTCTTACACTTCAGATTCACATGGGTACTGTGTAGTTCCTGAATAGAGAAAGTAAGTGCTGAATGCTGTTTTCTTTACTATATTTGACCCAAGTTACTCAGAAAAAAATATGATGAAGAATGAAAGCTTCAAATTTAATGAAGTAAATGAGGCTGTTCCATGATAACTGACCCACATTTCGATTACTCCACCTTGAAAAACTGTGAGCACAGTTGACTAAAATTTTTAAATCATGATTGGTAAGACAGCATAAAATAAGTGTCTGAATATTAGAATGAAAGTGCACGACTCTTGAAGTTTAGGAAAATTTAAGTCAACTTCATGTGGTATTCATTTTAAGAAGTAGTAATAACTGAAAACAAATACTGGTTTTATAGGAAGTCAAATATTTTCAAAATGTAAAATCATCACCAGTCTAATTCAAATTGAGTTTTTGGAGGTTATGCCTGGTAGAAAAATACATACATGTCAACTTTTTACTTCATTTGGGGAACCATCCCTTCCCTGTTATGAGTGGTTGGTTGTCTGTTAGTCTTGTTCTGTTATAATCCAATCCTGGTCATCTCTAATGCAACAGTGATTGTTAATCAAGCAGAGACCATCAGAATCCTTTGAAATTGATACATGAATGCTAGGAGAAAGATACTTCCTGTTCCCTAACATTGTTAATGTGATGGATGCTAGTGGTACTCTTCCCCACATGTATGAGAACCCCATCTCTATTAAGGTAAACTGCAGCCTGTGGAGATGGGAGATGGATGGAGATAGGGTGCCAGTTTCAGTCCCATAAACCGTGGTATCAACTATGTATGGTTTTCTTTAAATTCTGTCAGCTACCCTAGTGTCCTTCCCAGTCCCTTGGGCTACAAAATTCTTTTTTTTTTTTAAATTTTTTATTTAGGTATTATTGATACACTCTTGTGAAGGTTTCACATGAAAAAACAATGTGGTTACTACATATACCCATATTATCTAGTCCCCACCAATACCCCAATGCAGTCACTGCCCATCAGTGCAGCAAGATGCCAGAAAGCCAGTATGTGCCTTCTCTGTGCTACACTGTTCTCCCCATGATTCCCCATACCATGCATACTAAACATAATACCCCTCAATTCCCTTCTCCCTCCCTCCGCAACTGCCCTCCCACACCCCTCTCTTTTGGTAACCACTAGTTCCTTCTTGGAGTCTCAGTCTGCTGCTATTTTGTTCCTTCAGTTTTGCTTTGTTGTTATACTCCACAAATGAGGGAAATCATTTGGTACTTGTCTTTCTCCACCTGGCTTATTTCACTGAGCCTAATGTCCTCCAGCTCTATCCATGATGTTGCAAATGGTAGGATTTGTTTCTTTCTTATGGCTGAATAGTATTCCATTGTGTATATGTACCACATCCTCTTTATCCATTCATCTACTGATGGACACTTAGGTTGCTTCCATTTCTTGGCTATTGTAAAAAGTGCTGTGATAAACATAGGGGTGCATATGCCTTTTTGAATCTAAGAAATATTCTTTGGGTAAATTCCAAGGAGTGGGATTCCTGGGTCAAATGGCATTTCTATTTTTAGTTTTTTGAGGAACCTCCATATTGCTTTCCACAATGGTTGAACTAGTTTACATTCCCACCAGCAGTGTAGGAGGGTTCCCCTTTCTCCACATTCTCACCAGCATTTGTTGTTCTTAGTCTTTTTGATGCTGGCCATCCTTCCTATTGTGAGGTGATATCTCATTGTGGTTTTAATTTCCCTGATGATTAGTGATGTGGGGCATCTTTTCATGTGTCTGTTGGCCATCTGAATTTCTTCTTTGGAGAACTGTCTCTTCATATCCTCTGCCCATTTTTTAATCCAGTTATTTGCTTTTTGGGTGTTGAGGTGTGTGTTCTTTATATATTTTGGATGTTAACCCCTTGTTGCATATGTCATTTACAAATATATTCTCTCATACTGTAGGATGCCTTTTTGTTCTGTTGCCATACAGAAACTTTTTAGTCTGATGTAGTCCCATGAGTTCTTTTTTGCTTTTATTTCCCTTGCTCCAGGAGATGCATTCAGGAAGAAGTTGCTCATGCTTATATTCAGGAGATTTTTGCCTATGTTGTCGTCTAAGAGTTTTATGGTTTCATGACTTACATTCAAGTCTTTGATCCATTTTGAGTTTGTTTTTGTGTATGGAGTTAAAAAATAATCCAATTTCATTCTCTTACATGTAGCTGTCCAGTTTTGTCAACACCAGCTGTTAAAGAGGCTGTCATTTTCCCATTGTATATCCATGGCTCCTTTATCACATATTAATTGACCATATCTGTTTGGGTTAATATTTTGGACTCTCTATTCTGTTCTACTGGTCTGTGGGTCTGTTCTTGTGCCAGTACCAAATTGTCTTGATTACTGTGGCTTTGTAGTAGAGCTTGAAGTTGGTAAGCGAGATCCCCCCTGCTTTATTCTTCCTTCTCAGGATTGCTTTGGCTATTCAGGGTCTTTTGTGGTTCCATATGAATTTTTGAACTATTTGTTGCAGTCCATTGAAGAATACTGTTGGTATTTTTATAGGGATTGCATTGAATTTGTAGATTGCTTTAGGCAGAATGGCTATTTTGACAATATTAATTCTTCCTGTCCATGAGCATGGGATGTGTTTCCATTTATTTGTATCTTCTTTAATTTCTCTTAAGAGTGTCTTGTACTTTTCAGGGTATAGGTCTTTCACTTCCTTTGTTAGGTTTATTCCTAGGTATTTTATTCTTTTTGATGCAATTGTGAATGGAATTGTTTTCCTAATTTCTCTCTGCTAGTTCATTGTTAGTGTATAGAAATGTCACAGATTTCTGTGTATTAATTTTGTATCCTGCAACTTCGCTGAATTCAGATATTAGATCTAGTAGTTTTAGATTGGAGTCTTTAGGGTTTTTTATATACAGTATCGTGTCATCTGCAAACAGG